TGACTGGGGATCAGACCCACCACCTTGGTGTACGGGGCTCGAACTCCCCTGAGAAATGGCTGGGCCGGAAGCGACTTTCAACCCCATTGGCTATCACAGCGTTTTGTTTTTTTCTTTTTAAATTTTTGTTTTATTGCTTAAAATATTACAGAGTATTCTATATGTCTCCTTTTCTTTTCTCCCCTTGACCTTCCCTACCCCCCAGTGTCCTGTGTCCACTGGTTATGTTTATCTGCATGCGTACAAGTCCTTAGGTTGATCTCTTACCCCCCAACCCTCCCAAACCTTCCCGCTGTAGTTTGACTGTCTGTTCGATGCTCCTCTCCCTCTGTATCTATATTTGTTCATCAGTTTATAATGGTCTTAATTATCCATAAATGAGTGAGATCATCACAGCGTTTTTTGAGGTCTCGTTGTTTGGGAAATGGTTGAGTGCCAATGGTTAGGAATCATTGGACAAGCTCTGGGCCCAGCCCCCAAGTGGGTCAGCATGGCCCACTGGATAGTTTGTCATGTTCACTGGTTCCTGTACCACCTCTAGCATCCCTGTCGAGCCTTCATCTGAAAAACCCCACCTTTCTGGTCCAGTTGAACCTGAAAGAAATAGCCCCTTGTGTATGAGAGTTGAGGTTAGAGGAGAAGTAGGCAAGACAAACTTCTTCCCACCTGCTTTCCCCACTCATCTTGCCACTGGAGTGGCCTCAGCACCCAGGTGAGAGAGGAGCCTGTCATTCTCCTTGGGCTGCCCAGCATTTTCTTTCTTCCTTCAGATACTACGCGGCCTAGGCGTGAGAATGAGGTGGATGGGCAGGATTACCACTTTGTGTATCTCGAGAACAAATGGAGAAGGACATTCAGGACAACAAGTTCATCGAGGCAGGCCAATTCAATGATAATCTCTACGGGACCAGCATCCAGTCCGTGCGGGCAGTTGCAGAGAGGGTAAGGGCAGGAGATGGCCCTGCTAGAGGCGTACTGCACAGAGGGCGCACAAAAGGCTTCCTGCCACAGGTCCACTGGATCTTCCTCCCCCTGGCACAGGGCCCACGATGTGGCACTGTAACCAAAGCCGTACCCACCATGTACACTCCCATCCCCTGGATGGTGGGGTCTGTCTGCCTCCATGCAACTCACTCCATAGTGTCACCCACCTGAATAGGGCCCCCTCTGTGGACCTGGCCTTTTCTGGGTAGTAGAAAATGTGGCGCCTGGGTACCTCTGGGGTAGAATCTTCTAGGCTAGAATCTCCTGCCCCCCCCCCCCGCCCCCGGGGGATGTTGGAGTTGCTAACTGGGTAAGTACTTGGGGTTGGGCTGAGACAGGGACCAGGAGCACTGATGCAAGTCGTTGCTTTTCCAGGGCAAGCACTGCATCTTAGATGTTTCTGGCAATGCTATCAAGAGGCTGCAGCAAGCACAACTTTACCCCATTGCCATTTTCATCAAGCCCAAGTCCATTGAAGCACTTATGTAAGTATTTGCTGAGACTCACTCCTGGCTGGGAGAGAACCCTGCAAAGGAAACAGAAAATGAAGTGATTGGTTGGGCCGGTGGGTGCCCCAGTGGAAGTACAAAGGGAGACCTGCACCGCAGCTCTGGTCCCCAAGGGCTCCTTGGTGTGAGTGCCCACGTGTGTGTTCCCAGGTGCACTTTTAGACCTGGAAGGTTTGAGGAAGATGTAGAGCCATGGGCCGTGCTGCTCTCAGAGGGCAGCTGAGCAGGTGTTCAAGGAGCCTGGAATAATCCTTTGTGTTAATCAGAACATGGAATTTAGTTCGGCACTAGATTTCTTCTGTCGTTGACAGGGAAATGAACCGACGGCAGACATACGAACAAGCAAATAAGATCTATGACAAAGCCATGAAGCTGGATCAGGAGTTTGGAGAGTACTTCACAGGTAAGGACCAATCCAGCTCATGTGGGACCAGCCAATATCTGTTCTAGAAGAGTCTCCATGAGGCTTAGTCACCTCACACAGAGTTTCTGGGGGCTTTTGGGCTCATACCTTTCCAAAGTACTAAAGTGCCCTGCAGCCCACCAGAACAGTTAGCCAGTTTATAGTTTCCACCACCATCACCAATGCTGCCTTAGATCATTTTGTTCTTTTTGTCTTCGTGTGCCAACTAGAGTGGATGTTCCTTACAGTACTATGCTGCCCTCCCCCCACTTCCAGGACTTGGCCTTGCATGTTTTAGGTGCTGAAGAAATTGTTGTTGCTGAAGATTCCTTGGTGTGGTGTTCAAGTTGTCTGTCAGTGTGTGTGTGCATGTGACCATAGAGGTCAGTTTCTCAGAGGTTGGCAGAGTGTCTGTAGCATGTTGCTTACCTTTTCACGTGCAGTGACATGTATGTGCAGGTTTGTGCAGAGTAAACTCTAGCAGGGACGCTACTAGATGAACCAGGACAGGATCCGTAACTGTCCTGTCATCTTTTGGGTTTCAGAGCTCCCTTTACTGTGAGCATCTGTTCTGTGTGCCATGCTGACCTCTGAAAGAGCAGATGTGACGGCTCCAGGAGCACTTTCTCTTGCCAGAAATTGTGGGTTCCAGCTCTTTCTCTGGATAACTGGGATTTCCCCAGTCTTCTGCTTATGGCTGCTTGAGAACTGCCAACTGCTGGCCTCATGTGGCCAAGGGCAGCATGAGTTGCAACACCTGGCATCTAATGGGCGTGCAATGAAAGTTTGTGAGCAACACATTTTCCTATTCATTGCTACTTAGTCTCACGTCTCAGCAAATTTACTTCAAGCCCTGGGCTTGGAGCACCTTCCAGTTTCCCTTGCTGCACTAGGCTCACAGATAGCGATATAGTGACACCAATCCCACGGCCATGTGGTCGCTGCATGCCAGGTTGAGCTGTAGGCCTGTTAGGACAGGCCAGATTGCTGGGGTTTGGGGATGCTGTGGACAACAGTAATAATTCTGTTTTCTCTTCACTTTAGCCATTGTACAGGGTGACTCACTGGAAGAGATTTATAACAAAATCAAGCAAATCATTGAGGACCAGTCTGGGCACTACATTTGGGTCCCATCCCCTGAAAAACTCTGAAGAAGCCCCTCCATCCTTTCTCTTGTGAACAGAAGAAGTCAAGCCCCTCTTCCCTCCTCCCTCTTCATTCCTGACCCCATGGGGAGAACAAATGACTACTGTTCTTGTCCCCTTTTTTAGATATGTCAAAAAAAATTGAGTTTTCTAGTCCTGTTCTGTTTTTTAAATTTTTGTTTTGTTTGAGTTTATTTTGGGGGGACGATGCCATCTCACTCATCATGTGACTGTGCCCATTCCTGCATGGACCTTTCCCAAGCGCTAGCACAGGTGCAAATCCTTCAGAGTCATTGTTTTCATAAAAATTGAGCAGACACGAAGAGAAGAGAGGAGAGGAGGACTGATGGAAAGATAGACTCTGGACAGCCGCACAGCTTTGACGTGAGCTCAACGCGCCTCGCGATGAGGTGCTCCTGGCATCTCTGCCTATCTGTACTGCTGCATGCAGTTCTGTATGGTGTGACATCATGGTGACAGAAAAGTACCTTATTTTATATATATATATATATATATATATATATATATATATATATATATATATGTGTGTGTAATTTATCTAAAATATATAGAAATTATATATATATATATATTATACACTCAGATATATATATATATATATATATATATATATATATATATATATATATATATATATATCTTACACCTTTGGACTAGAAAACCTATGGAGACTTCAGCAATGGTACTGTGCTGTTAGAGAAATGCTTTAATTTTCATATTCCAATCAGATGGTATCTTATACCCCAACTGGTTGGGGAGGGATTGAAAGTGGTAGTAAGTGCTGTACCAAGGGCCCTCACACTTGGTCATTCTCTTGAGAGCTGGGGTTTTCTCTGCAGGGGACCAGTGGAGGCCTGCAAGAGAGGGCTTGGCCTGGGCCAAGAGGCCTGGAGACTTGACCGGGAAGCAGCTGCTGCCCCTGAGGAGCAGTCAGCACTGTGTATGGAAAGAGAGAGAATGGCTAACGATACTCCATATTAAATTGCCTATTGTTTTTGCCACCTGATGTGTCTGCATGAGAGATTTCCTTTTTGTTCATTTTTAAGCTGCTGTTAAACCAAAACCATGTTGTGCTACTGTGTCAGCCTTTTCATTATTCCAAATTTTGCTTTTACTATTTAAGTGAATGCGTAGAATCCAGTTTGACAGTGTTCTAATGGCTCATGATGTTGTAGAGTCGCCGGGGCCTTGTGACAGAGAAGGTGACTGGGCCATCGAATCAGCAGGTCAGGAAGTGGGGGCTGGTGAGAAGTGAGAGTAGGACCTGGGGCTCTGCATTGCAATGTGGCCCTTTACTCACCTGCCTGGGACATGCTGGGCTCAGTTGAGGCCCCCTCATGGGGCCACTGACAGGGATGGAGTTGCTTGCCTTCCCGTTCTATGCTGGGACAGCACCGGCCTTGGCCAGCCGTGTAAGGAGAAGTTGATTTGGTTTTCTTTTGCAGCTGCTTCATATGCCCTACTCTGGCCCCCTCACCCACAGCTGGTAGCTTACTGTTATTTCAAGGAGGAAGCCCACTTTCATGCTGTCACTTTGAGCTGGGGAGCCAATATTCATTTACTGGCAACACATGAAACCTTGTTGCCCTTTCCCAGAATCAGATGGCAGTGATTGTGGTCAAGTTTTTCTTTGACCACAAATTCAGGTGACAGGTGTGGCTCAGGCCCCTCCCCACCATGCTCCTTTGAAGCCACCGTGCCTCAGTCACCTCCACGCTGGAGGCATGACACGGAGAAGAGAGTGAATGTGCTTGGCCCCTTAGGGTCTTGTTTCTAGGCCATTGTGTTATGAGCAGTGCAAATGACACCATGTTGAAGACACTTTGACTGCTACCAGCCAAATTTAGGAAATATGGTAACAATTCTCCTACCAGCATAATGAGGGTAACTGTAAAGTGTGGGGCCCAGATGAGGGTAAAGAAAGGGCAGCAGCTTTACTTGGGCCGTACACTGGATTGAAGGCAGAGAGGGGAAAGTGATGGCCGATTATGACTGATGAGGAGGGGTGAACAGGGAGTGTTGATTTCTCTGATGTTAAGTAACTGATATAAGTTTGAATGATACTCAACCCTCTACCCCTCCCAGGGAAGAAAAGCAAAGATTCAAAGTAAGCATGACACTAGTTGGTTTACCAGTGTTCCTTCCAAGGAGACATATATTTTTTAATAAACGATAGTTGCAATGAACTGTGGCTCAGAGACCTTCTTGGAGTAGTTGGGAAGGAAGGGTTGGGGTCACAGCAGTGGGAAAAATGTCTCAAACCTTTCTTTGGGGGCCAAAAGGTTCTCTACTTAGTAATCATCAGCGGAACGAGTCGGTTGTTCTCTGGATGGTTCTAGATCCCAGTGGCCATAGCAGGTCCTTTGTGAAAGTTATATTCTCAGTCCTCCACACAGGCCCCCAAATACTGCTTCAAATAGCACTGCCCTTGGTGGGGAAATGCTGACATTTCCCTAAAAGTACACAAGATTGGAGATGCCTGCTTCAGCAAAGAGGTTTGTTAAAGAAAGCAAGGGCCAAGTTAGCAGCAGAAAACTGAGTAATATGGTGAGAAAAAGCTGGCATAACAGCTACCAGTGTGCCCAGAAAGCATTGACAGCCAGGAGAAAATGAGGGGGAGGTGGGCCCAGAGGAGGCCCCAGCTGGCAGAGCAGGGTGGCTGTCATCCCTATAGCTCCGAAGAGAGGACAGGTGCTTAGATCACATATTTTTAATATCTTTTTTATTGACTTCAGAGGGAGGGAGGAAGGGAGTGAGAGAGAGGAACATCAATGACGAGATAGAATCATTGACCGGCCTCCTCCTGCATGCCCCCTACTAGGGATCAAGCCCATAACCCGGGCATGTGCCCTGACTGGGAATCCAACTGTGACCTCCTGGTTCATGGGTCGACGCTCAACTGCTGAGCCATGTTGGCTGGGCTAGATCACGTATTTATGACATGGTTGATGTCACTGCAACTTGAGAGAAGCCTGAGGAAGTACTGTCTTAAGGTCAAGAGAGATGACTGACTGACTGAGCAGCCCTGATGTGTGTGGGCTGGACCCCACTAAGGATGATGATCCTTACCAGTTTGTGGTGCTTTACAATTTGCAGGGTGCTTCCTTCCACACATTCTCTCATTTGCTAGAAGGCAGCCTGACAAAAGGGAGTCCCCAAAGTGCTCTGTGGGATCTAAGGAAATCCTGCTCCTAAGTGCAAAGGGAACAAAGAGCTGGCCTGTAGCCACACTGTGCTGAGACTCTTCACAGATGCTGTCCCTCCTAGAGGAGACACAGGTGAAGAAAATAAGCCCCAGCAACTTAGAACATTGAAGGCAGACATCCCCTAATTGGAAGCTCTGCTGTGACCTGATGGCTGGAGCCCCATCTTCACACAGCATCCACACTGGGGTCTCTCACCAGTTTTGCTGCTGACAACACAGCTCATGGAACTTCAGTTTCCTCTTCTGTAACAGACCTTAAGTTACAGGATTCATAGGATGATACTCATAACTACATACAATATTTGTTCAGGGGCAAATGTCCAACTTTATCCTAAGGTGGGAGTTCTTTGAGAAATTAGCTAATGAACGCAAAATCTTTACCCAAAACAAGTGTGGAAGCTCTGCTCAAGGATGACCCTCATAATGGATGCAGGAGAAAGTGGGAGTTGAGCTAGAGGGCTGGGAAGAGACTAGAGCAAAAAAGGATGGGGCTCTAGCAGAGGGTCAGTACTGAAGACAGTGGAGCCCTTTCCATAGGGACAAGGCCTGCCTGGTAGCAACCACTAGAAGCCCAAGATGTCAGAGAACCTTGAAGAAATGAGCTGAGTGGGTGTTGGGAGAGCTGTTAACTTTCTCAAGGCCACCCAGCAGGAGTGCTGGGGTGCTTGGCCAGACATCTGGGTCTTGGCAGTACTCAGTCACACTGTCTCCCCAAGTTTTGTCCTTCATCTTTGTTTTGACCTAGGATTGTATGGCTTTGATTCTATGAATCCATTTATCCATTCAGTCATTTCCTTGTCACCTCTCGGACATTTTATTATCACCGCAAATAACTTTCTGGAGCTCAAAATCCAATTTCCTCAAAAGCCTCTTTCCCCATCTTTTCCAAGAAGTAGCAGAACTGACTCCTGTAGACCTCAGTTCCTCCCCAACAAACAGGGTCCAAGTGCACGAGCCTTGCCAGAGCACAGAAGGACCTCAGCGGGACTTGCTTTGCACAGCTGTGCCCAGTGTCAGGATGATACCACTGGTGCTTTTCACATTTGGCCGGATAAACTACCTGCCTGCCCTATCCCTCCCCTGTCACTGGCACTCTAACCAGAAGTATCTAACATACTTCGAAGGACTGGAAAGGGGGTGGTTTGAGAAGAAGGGTTCAGACCTGCCTGCTCGCAGTGAAGAGCATGAGCAAGAGGATGTTTCTTGACTGGCCTTCCGGTGCCCACAGTCATCCTCCTTAGGATGGTCCTTTTGCCATCAGGCCTTGGCCTTTCTCTCTTGCTCATCTTTTGCTCTGTCCCCGTGTGTTCCTGCCACGAGTTTCCTGAATGCACCACAACCCTGTGTCTTTGCTCACACTTTATTTTCTGCCCATAAATGCCCTCACTGCCACCCCATCTTGCTTACCTGGGAAGACTCCTCTCAATATTTTAAGGCAAAGCTATCATTCAGAATTGAAGGTCAGATAAAGAGCTTCACAGATAAGGAAAAGCTAAAGGAGTTCATCACCACCAAACCAGTATTATATGAAATGCTGAAAGGTATCCTTTAAGAAGAGGAAGAAGCCAAAAAGGTAAAGGTCCAATTTATGAACAAAAAATACGCATCTATCAACAAGTGAATCTAAGAATCAAGTGAATAAATAATCTGATGAACAGAATGAACTGGTGATTATAATAGATTCAGGGACATAGAAAGGGAATGGCCTGACTATGCTGGGGGGGGGGGAAGGGGTGTGGGAAATGCGGGAAGAGACTGGACAAAAATCATGCACCTATGGATGAGGACAGTGGGTGGGGAGTGAGGGCGGAGGTTGGGGTGGGACCTGGGAGGAGGGGAGTTTTGGGGGGAAAAAAGAGGAACAAATTTAATAATCTGAACAATAAAGATTTAATTATTAAAAAAAAAAAAGAATTCTCCCCCCTGACATAGAAAGGGAATGGC